GAATTGTCATTAGACCATAACCTCTTCTGATTATATTACAATGACATCTTCTAAAATTCAGGAAGAGCCTGTTGATAAGACAAAGCATTGGGGTGATTTGGAGGAAGAGGAAGAGGAGGAAGAAGAAGAGGAAGAGGAAGAACAACTTGAGGAAGAAGATTTACAGGATGGTATTGAATCTGTAGATAGCCTTTCAAGGTATCATGTTTCTTTTGTTTCCCTTCTTTATTTTTGTTTTAGTATGCTTTGTGCAGTTGCATTTATCTTCGTTGTTTCCGGATTTGGTTTTGTTAATACGCTGATTTTATTAAGCACAAAAACCAGTTTCTTCTTTTTGGTTTTCTGCCACTGAAGATTGCAATGAAAATAGATGTAATATCTGAGTTGTTCTCTTTACTAAAATTTTCACCTCCTTCTCAGTACTCCCACTGGTGTTGAGACACCTGATGTCATTGACCTCCGTAAGCAGCAGAGAAAGGAACCTGAAAGGCCTCTATACCAAGTAAGCTCAGTGATTGGAAACTTCTGCCTAGCATGTGTTGATTGTTATTATTATTATTCTAATTCTTCTGATTTATTTTGTAAAGGTACTTGAAGAAAAAGAAGAAAAAATTGCTCCAGGGACACTGCTTGGAACAACACACACGTATGCATTATGCTTTAAATAGTCCCGGTTTATTCTTTGTTTTTCCATTTGTATTTGTTTTAAACATTCTTTTCGTATGTTTTCTGTGTACAGGTATGTTGTTGGTAGTGGCACCCAAGACAAAGCAGGGGCCAAAAGGGTAAGAAACTCTCTATCTAGAGGGTGTAAAAGAGGGGATTATTTGATTGGGAAATGCATGTGCTTGATGTGCTACTTCTGTCAGAAAATGGCAAATATGTTAATTAAGCTCTATAAGAAAGCTAGTGACATGTATTAGTACCTTGTATAATTTGTATTTGCCACCAGTTTTTTTATTTAATTATCTTTCTTATGTATTGATTCATTTGTCGCTTCTATCTTTAGGTTGATCTGCTTAGAGGTCAGAAAGCAGATAAAGTGGATGTCACTTTACAACCTGAAGAATTGGAACTTATGGAGAATGTTTTGCCTGCAAAGTAAGTTAAAAAAACATGAGAATTTTGATTCTTTTTTCCCATTACCTTAGCAGCAGTGAATTTGACATATTTTGTATTTCTCAGGTATGAAGAAGCAAGGGAGGAGGAGAAGCTGCGAAGTCAGCGGGAAGATTTCAGTGACATGGTTGCGGAGGTAAACCTTGAACTAGTGTAGAGATATAGGAATTCAAGAAATAAAGAAGTGCTTGTATTCGGTTGCTTGTTTTGACAAATTCTAATGAGATGTTTTTGGTGCAGAATGAGAAGAAGAGGAAACGTAAGATGCAGGAAAAGGAAGGGAAAAACAAGAAGAAGGATTTCAAGTTCTAGGAGGAGAGAGCCGAGCTCATCAAGTTTTGCTGGAAGCCACCCTGATGTTGAGATATTTTACGAGATTTTGGTGCCAGTGTGTGTTGAGACTTAGTTGTACTTCTGTGATTGTATTTAGATATGATCTATCTTCACCCCAGTTCACTGTATGAACTACATAATATATAATTAACCGCCTTTTTTTCCCCTTTGGCCTTGTCTTAATTTATATATTCATGACTAGTATCAAGGACACCTTTTCTTCTTTTACTTGCAGACCTTGTCCTAGAAAAACCTTTTGGGCATCCATGATCCCTGATGGTTGCCCGCATGCCTCAGCATGGGCCCACATCTATACGACTAATGTTATAATATTGAGAGAGAGAGAGAGAGAGAGAGAGAGAGAGAGAGAGAGGGCCTTGGCAGATTGTAAAGGTCGAGTGGTGACATAAAATATAGGCATGGGCCCACATCTATACGACTAATGTTATAATATTGAGAGAGAGAGAGAGAGAGAGAGGGCCTTGGCAGATTGTAAAGGTCGAGTGGTGATCTAAAATTTATATTTCGCATTTTGTAGAGGATTCGTTCCCTGTGTGCTCTAAAGGATCCCACTGCTAAAAGCCTAAAAGAGAAAGAAAAGTAAGATTCTAAAGTGAACGTAGTGAGGAAGATCAACTTCGTGTTTCATGCATCTTCTTCGCCACTAAGAAATGAGTTCATGTAATTGTGGTACTTAGTATGCAAGGAGTTTGTAGGTCAAGTAGTAAAAATTAGTTACTCTTATACTCGAGATCTGGTATTTAATTCTTTATTCCTTTAATATTGCTTGTATAAAAGAAGGAAAAAACTTTCGCATCTGATGATAAATATAGATTTGGTATTTGTATGTCTTTTTCCTTGCGATTTGTTGTGGGTTCTAGGAGGATAGAATTGATATGGGGATAGCCTTGATATTATGATTAGATTTGAACTACAAGAGTATTAGGCAAAAGTGATGAGACTCAATAGTCACATGTGACAATTTGCTGGCGGACATGGCTGAAGGGGTGCCAAACAAAGCCTAATTTCAGTCTAGGGTTTTTAGTCGGCTCGATTATTGATAAGATAATCCAAATTATTATAATTGTGCATGACGAAGCCAGCCTGCATCAGAGAGCAGCTTGACTACTACAATTGAAACAATTATATTATGTTTTACTTCCATCCTTCCATTCCATGCATACGATAAACAAATAATGGACCCACCGTCACCTCCCTCTACTCTACCTACCACTATAAAAAATATTATTAGATCTAAGCCGACTAGGCCCCATGTCCCCATTTCTTGTGTGTCACAATTGCTTCCTTGACCTACGAATTCTCTTCCTCCTCTCAATACGGAGGTATCATCAGTCAGTCATACACACGCGTGAATTAGTTCTAGAGTTAAAATCAACTCGAAAATCAAGTACAAAGTTCAATCACAAGACTTTCCCATAAAATAACGCTCAAATGCAGCATTGGGGAATTGAAATTTGAAAATGATGTTTATGATTGCTGACTAGCTAACAACAACTTGTTAATAAGTCAAATTAATCAAAGTGACCATAATTAATGTTGCATGCACAAACCCTAAACACTTGGATCCACGTTTCCCCTTGGGACCATCATCAATTGCACACCCGGTCCAACCCCGGGTACCCTTCAAAACCCGTGATATCGCGACACGTGGAGCAATCATCTTTGGACCCCCTTCCTAGTTCTTCCTCCCCCACATGGAAAATATAACTTAGTTAGTGACAACGATAGTAAACAATAAAACGAGCCACCAAGGCGTTGGCAATGGCATGCGTTTCACATATTTTAAGCCTTTTTGTTTGCAATTCTTCATTTGGTCAGTGAGATTGATTAAATTGTTAATATTCAATTACGAATGTGGTATGATGGCTTCGTTTCTGGGGTTAACTTATTAAGACTTTTCTTCTGCTTAATTTGCATTAACTTTAACTCGTTTACGACATATATTCTGTCGTCTCCTTTTGGATTATAATAAAATATGTGTGTGGTAGGCGACTGTACAACAAGAACCTCTACCTAACTAACCATTCGATGTGAACAAGTTTCATTTCAATTCCTTTCACACTCTGTCTTTTGATCTAACAAAGATGGGATTTGCTTCAAATGATTTTATTTACACCTCCCGTGGTGCCTTAAAGTACATACACGCACGTGGCTCTCGTGGTCCTATTTGTTTGACGGCCAACTCCAACATATTCTGATGAAAACTTTTGTATTGTTCTAAATGTAATCTTCTGCGTAACAATCATCTTAATTTTCTCTGTAACGTTCCAATTTAACACAACCCCTTGGGGTTCTGGCTACATTGCAGAATTGCATGGTGCATGGATGTGATATATATATGAACACATAACGCCAACCTATCTACAACATGTAATCACATGTCCATAGGGCCATAGGATCATCAAAACCCTCCATTTGTGACCACGTGATGCTCAAGTGTTCACTTTCAGCCCTACAGAACTGGGGTCTACCGGCCACCCCTCTATATAAACAAACACTTGATTGATGAAGACGAGAGCCGACTAGTCCGTGGACCGTAGTGTACTTTTATTCCTTTGCTCTTACGTTGATGGCAAAATTTTCTAAAATTATTGTTGTAAATGGTATTTGCCGGACACAATATTATCTAGAGGATCAAGTTTAATTTGGGGGAAACAAATGTGATCGATATTCCTCGCTCATTGCGTGACACATTTTGCTTCATTTCCTAATCCTTTATTCTCCGTTGATTTAATAAATTTCTATATTATTTTTATAAAAAATTGTTCAAATTATTATAATTATGTATTGCCTAGCTACGTAGTATATGTTCTTTTTACATCGCCAACATATAGAGCACTATCGATGGCGTAGAAGCAGCCACATGTCAACAACCCACCTTCACCTTCGGGGTTAAGTAATTCTCTCTCTCTCTCTCTCTCTCTCTCCCTCCCTTCTAGTCCACGTTGTTTCTCTTATTACTTAAGTACTTGAATTGTTTTCTTCTATAAAATTGTGCTGAGCAAGGAAGAGCATGGTACTATTGATTGTCACCTAAGTTGCATAATTTTTATAGGGCTGCCACCACCCACCAGTACCAAAACCCCACCTCTATCAATCACAAGCTATCCTGGACCATACAAAGCTTTTCTTAGAAATTTTCGATCATCCATCATATCTTTTTATTCTTCTTGTTACAATTATTATTCATAGATATAGTATAGATTGTTATATATAAAATATATAATATATAGAGAGCTTAAAATTATTAAGATAAGGAGACTGAAAGACATGCTCAATTCTCATCAGCTTCCAAGGCATTTCATTGCACCTGATATTAAAACCGTACAATCATCCCTTTCCTCTGATCAACGCGGTACCATTTTGCTTATAAACAACATCAACCTCATCCTCTTCCTCTTCTTCAGATTTCTTTCTCTTCTTCGCGTCCCTCGTTTCAAGGGCTAGACATACATCTTCATCTTCATCTTCACTTGCAGGATCGATCTTAATCTTTGTGGTTTCAGGTTTTGAGGGTGTTCAGGGTGATGGGTTTGAGTACCAAGCAAGTTTCTAGTGATGGGCTCGATTGGAGCCAGGCCAGCTTGTTGCAAGGTCAGACTTTTCAGCTCCCAAAATCACCTTCTGCCATGAGGAGGCAACAACCTGAGCCTTTGAAGTGCCCAAGGTGTGAATCTACCAACACAAAGTTCTGCTACTACAACAACTACAACAAGCAACAGCCGAGGCACTTCTGCAGAGCTTGCAAGCGGCATTGGACCAAAGGCGGCACTCTCCGGAACGTCCCTGTTGGCGGTGGCCGCAAAAACAGGCGCCTCAAGAAATCATCAAACAGTACTTCTGCCTCTGCTGCAGCCACAACAACCACCACAAACAGTGCGGCAATTGATCAAACAGATCACCAAGAGCAGAAACCCATGTCTCAAGTTTTCTATCAGGCGCTGCCTCAACAGAATTTGGATAATACTATCATCTTTTCGTCCACATCATCACCGGGTTTAAGTGCCAGTACTCTGCCTTTCCTTCATCAGAGTAGAAACTTGAGCTTTCCCTTCTCAAGCTCAATTAGCACCACTTCAAGTTCCTTGGACACAAACTTGTCTTCCATCTCAACATCTTTGCAATCCTCAAATGTTTATAACTACGCCACCGCGGCAGCCGAGGATCAATTCAAAGCCATGGAGGAGCCAACCATTACAAGCATCATGCCCAACATTTCTCAGCCTAATTGGAAAGTGCCCACTTCAAGCAACGCCATGGATGTGTATTCAAACGACTGGAACTGGGAAGACATTGAAACCCTTGTTTCTACTGATCTCAATCTGCCTTGGGACGGTTCTGATATAAAACCATAAGAGGAATTAGGTTTCTGTTTGAATTGGGTGTGTTCATGAGGCATGGGAGACAGTCTCTTTCTTCTCTTAATGTCATTGTCAGTTTGTCACAGTTTCTACTTGACCAGGTGATAAATAATTTCTGCTAGTTATGAAATTTATGCAGAGAGATGTAGACTGTTTGAAGCTGTCTTTTTTTCTTCTTTTTATTTATTTATAGGTTTTTCTTCTTAAGAATTAAGATGTCCATTAATTTGTAACTCTTTCCTGAGTTTGTTCATTATTACAATATGAATGAAAATTGATAGAGTGTAAGTGAGTGCTTTGTGATAGGGAAATGGGGTCTCCTACAGGAGGGCTGACAGACAGACAGAAGAGAATGAGATGGAAGATTCTTGTGGATATATATGTAATGTATATTTGGATATCTGAATTAGATTACATGGATTTGTTTGCCCATATTTTATGACCACTGGTTCAGAATCATGCTTTGCTTCAAGTCCCGACAGAAAATTTGGGTTGTAAAGTAATTTTCCAAGCATTATTTTTGATGTTCTATAGGAAAGTAAGCTTGAAAATGTGTGAATCTGTTTCATATTATTTGATCCTTCATAAAGCTCTTTCTTTGATCACATTGCAAAGGGGTCCTCTTCTCATCTTCTCACTCTAGTTCTAGAGACTACCATGTGCATGTTGGGGCCACAATTCTGAGACAGATGCTTCAAACGTAGGTTTTTCTCAGATCAAAGGGTTAAAAAAAAACAGCCATTAGTTTGAATACAAATAGAATTCTGAAGCAAATTGTCATTGATGGATGGCTCCAAAAGCACCAGTCCAGTGATAGTGCTGTAATGAGATTATGAGAGGGACAAGATATAGTTAGGACAAAATAGTCCGGTGCCAGACATTAATTATAGCGTAAAATTCTCATCCAATTAAACTCCATATCATACATAAATCATAAATAATCAATCATAATGCGTTCTGTTAAGTCAAGTACATACATCATAAGATGAGCACTACAGTTGCTAATCAACCAACTACATCTGACAATAGAAGATCACTCTCACTTCCCTCAATTTGGTTTTTAAAGGTTCTGCATCCTCACGCCAGTGTCTCGGCTATAGGGAGTCTCCAGTTCGTTAGCCCTGGAATAGCTAACATAATAAAGCTCGGAGAATATCCCCGTGAAGACGACAAAGGCAGCGCCAGCCCCAAAGATTCCTTTCCTCAATGTCTCACACGAAAGTTTTTCGTTCGTAAACAGAGTCTTGTACTTGGTGTGGTACACGTTTCTCACTGAACCCGCAAGAAGGCATGCCTCAGCAATAAGAAAAAACACCCTGAAGTTTCAATGTGATTCCAGTAAGCAGGGTTAAGATTAATCATCCGGTTATGAGCTTGTGAAAGTCTAAAGATTATTAACCAATGTAATTTCTGAGCATGACCAAATTATAAGAGCACATACCAGCAGGTGATGAAGAGCATGATTGCCCATGACCTAGAACCGCTGGGTCTCAAAGCCTTTCCACAGCACAAGCATCGACTTACCCCCATTATAAGAACTTGACTTGCCAACAGGAACAGAAACGACCCCACACCTAAGCCAGTTGCAATGTCAGAATCATATACACAATAGCTGGAATTTGCTAGAGTTTGAATCTTGGCCTGCAAGGAAGAATAATAGATGAATTACTACCCGACAGCACATAGGAAATCTTACATGCGCTCCAGTTAGACTGAAGTTACTCAATTACTTCAACTAACAATGTTCCAATTGTAGGAGAAACCAGTTTGATGCTAATAATTTAAAAGAAAAATTAGATATTAGAGTGTTTACGCCATTCTGGAAATTTAGAAGTGAACTATCACTCACTGCAATTCTTGTAGAACGTTGAGGATGCACACATCTTATGAGATTTATCTCCTTTCTTTGGCTTTTGTGAATCCCAACTTAAGATTCATAGTCAGCTTTTAAGTCTACCCTCTCTCTCATCTTATTCTTTGATATCTATCCATGTTATGCTGATTAAGAATCTTCGAAATGAGTTGCCTTAGAAAATTCACATTCTAAATAAACTAAATCACAGCTGTATGCATTTACAAGCAATTTCTACATTTCCCTCCGTAGCCTACGGTTTGATGGATTTCTCGGGTTTGAAAATTACCCAGATTCAGACCATACCCTCTAATCAAACACTAATTAGCCATTGCAAGTCTGCACCGGATCCATCTCCAAAGCAAAAATCATTTCCTCCTCACCAACAAATTTAATATCATTTTCACAAGGCGATATTTTACACTACTTTAATCTATAGGGAGGGAGATTTGAACTCATATGCAAGGGTGCGGGCATATTACCCTAGCCAACTCGCCTAACTACATTTCATATTTTGGTTAAAAATCTCTGTTTCATGTTTCCCGCAAATTTTTCCATATCCATGGACAGACAATGAATATAGCAATAAGACAACTATTTTCTATGTCTGAAGGCCAAAGTAAAAGTGTGGCTGCAACAAACCCCTAAATCTGATAACAAAAAATATGGAAAATTTACAACGAATATACATGAATTGTTTATAATTTCTAAATATAGAACCATATGAAATAATTTCAAGAGAGAGACTTACACTGGACCTTCGTTGCTCAGCAGCAACAGCAAGCGCAAAAGCAATCAGATCAAATACAAACACGACAATCAATAACGCCGTTGAAGCCATGCTTCCTTCGAAATCCCACAGAACCTCTCTTCTCTCTTCAAAGTCTAAAACCTCGACAAACAAAAACAAACGCAGACAGACACAGAAGAAGATAAAGCGTCTCAGATGTTTTAATCACATCACATTATAACGTTGTTGAACTCAAGAGGCAAAACACACGCACAGAAACGCACGCGCTTCATGGCGAATAACATAAATAAAAGTTTGTCAAAAAATAAAATAAATAAATAAATAAAAAGAGCCCCAAAAGGTGAAAAATAAAAATTGAAATAACCCGGCCGCCGCCCCAGCAAATAAAGGTAACCTAGATTCTCTCTCTTACAAAGGTTCACACTATTTGGGCTGGGATAATTGTCCGTGTACTCAATTTGGTTTGTTATAGCCCAATAACCGATGGCACATCTAAGACTATTGTTCGGTCGTATGTCAGCTGGACTCATTTATGCAGGTGGTCAAAATAGCATGACGCACCACTTTTAAGGAAATATTTTTGCTCATTTATCATCCTGTCTCTTTTAATATTTGACATGTGTCTATTAATAATAGTTCTGTATATAGATATGTGTCAAGTATTTAAGAGTGATGATAATGTACTTTGAGTTAAAGCAGTGATAACATGTTTTCCACGTTTAAAATTACAATAGCACATCCCCAACGTTTTGTTTAAAAAAGTCATAAATCCAAGTTTCATGGACCATTGTCGTTGTCGAAAAATAAAAAACAAATCACATTTTAAAATTTTTCTCTTATTGAAGGGGAAGACAATCTAAATTGGATGGCAATGCACATGCAGATACAGGCTTAGCAAAATTGACTAGAGCAGATAATTTGATTTCATAAGTATATACATTATTGAATTAGAATCCACATATTAAAAAACTTCCAATCTTGTCCTACGAATTACATCAAGGCATCAAAAGAAATAAAGAAAAAAAAAAAAAAAAAAAAAAAAAAAAAAAATTTATGCTTGCGGATTTATAAGAAATGGCAATTTGGTATGTAAGAGAATCTGAATCCAGATTGTCAAATGCTAGGGTGGATATCTCTATGGAACCTAGCTAGAAAATTGTATTGTGAATGGCAAGTAGTCAAAACTACAATTGCAACAAAAGCATGGTAACCAAATCCTCATCAATTACTAAAAAACAGCACTTAGGCAAAGGCCATCGGGAAGATAACTCAACTCAATGTTGAGGATATACATTCGGCCTTGGCATAGGGCTAAGGGCAACCATGGGAACATACTTACATATATTAGCCATTGCAATAGGTGATGGTAATCCAATAATTATGTTAGCAACTATGAGATGATGTGAAAAATATTGTATTTTTTCTTAAATCATGAGCAAAAGAAAATATGCAAACGTAAATCTCTTGCTCATTGTTAGAGCTTATACATATTCTTTAAATAGTAATTAACATATAATGTTTTTAAAAAATTTGCTTTGAATTTAGAGTCCCAGAAACTCTCCGTTCTCTACAATTTCAATTGACAAAAGTTCTCACAAACCCGAAAACAAAGCAAACCTCAGACCTCATATTGAAATGCCAAACTTTCTTTATTACCCGGATAATAGCTATGAAGGCCATTATTAAAAGAAATATCTTTCTCCTGGCGGAGTGGACTTGGGCACATTGTAGACCAGTGCTCACCAATCTTCCCACAAATACAACACACCTTGAAAGATGCATATGCTTCATCTTGGCCACAACAGCTGCCTCCAAAGAACCTATGACAAACCGAACAAAGTAAAACGCAACCTCTGCCAATTGTTGCATTCTTTGGGACACGCTTCCTGTAAGGGCAGACTGAAGGAGGATGCTCATCCACCTTTAAACAAAACAAACATCACCTGTGCACAAATATATAGATATTATGTCATAATTAAGAAGAGGAAAAATGAAAGCTATGATGAAACATAGAGAAGCAGCATATGCAAGGGTTGAATGAAAATGCCTGAGTGTGGAAGGGGAGGAAAGGAGTTGGGAAAAGGTGGGAGGAGGGAGGAGGCTATCTATTGTTTTTTATTTATTTCTTTTCTTCTCTTCTGTCTCTAAAAAGTGATGATGTGAAAACCCAACAAATCAGTTGAATAATAACAAATATATCAATATAATAATGCCTAAATGGAGCAACAAACTCAAAAGTAATTTTCCTCTAAAAGTATTTCCAAATCAATTGATTTAGGATATTTCACTAAACAGTGGCAGATTCTTGAATTTTCTTCTTAGGGCAAGAAAAAACTACGACCGACTTACTATCAGTGAAGATTAATCAACTCTTTAACACTAGAGGGAATGGCTAAACTAATTTCATAGAGATTCTTCATCATCATCATCGTTCATCCTCATTCATGGACAAAAAGGGGAAGCAAACAGAGCACGTGAGTATTTTTTTTTAAAACCATATTTTAAATAATCAGCATCATATAAACTGGACATCAAACACTTTGCACCTATTTATCAAATAATTCCATGGAAACAGTTTGCCCTAATTTATCATCACTATCCTGCCCTACCACTACATGAACCAAAAAGTAAAAAGATAATGTTTCATTCATACACATAAAATTTAAAGCCCACGTAATTAAATTGTAGATATTCATCGTGACAAACACTTAAATTAAAGGAAAAGGGAAAAACATACAATTTGTAAAGCCGAGTTGCAAAAGTGGAGACGTATAGCATCTTTGGCGAGCATAGGCCCTTTCTGCCGTCGTCCTCCGCTTGGGTGTCACCGTCAGCACGGATTGGCGTATCATGGTTGAGGGGGACCATATCTGGCGAGAAAAGGTCCTTTCCGCAGACGTTGTCCATGGCTGTGTGTGAAGCTTGGTGTTTGGCTTTGCGGTTGTGAGAGAAAAAACGACTGGCGGTTGGGTACAGGATGAATTGTGAGAGAAAGAAAGAATGGCGTTTCTTGCTTACATGATATATAGGCGGTTTGGCTTGATTGAATAACCAACCATATTATGACCATATTAATCAATATTATTTTTTCCATTTCAGTCTTGATTAAATAGTAAATTTCTAGTTTTGATTTTCCGATTTCGTTTGGGATTTTGGTTTTCTGAATTAGAGCAGGAATATTTTGGTGATTTTGAGTCCCAAATAAAGGAAGTTAATTAATGTGGTTTTTCCTTCGTTTTACGTTTCCTTTTATTTTCAAGTTTGTGAGTCTTGCATATATACTTCCAATCCAATCCAATCCCTCTGTCCTCCTTCCTCTTTTCCTTTCTTTCCATCTCCTCCTTGGACTCCTCCTGCTCTGTTGCATGCGTAAGTATTTCTTATTGGGCTTATTTATTTGGGTGGTTTTGTTTCATTTCTCTATTGCTTTAACTGGCCTCAATGTTCTTCTTCTTCTAACAGACCTCGTAAGCTCTGTGAACTTTGAGATCAGCTCAGATGGATTATATAAGTTTAATTGATGACAGAAAAAGTTAGAAACCATGAATTACACATTTGAACTCATTTCTAATTGAATTCATAATGTTAGCATCTCAATTGCTTATCTAATTGATTTATGAATTTCAAATCCATGCACAGGTTTTGCCGAGGGTTGAGGAGAATATAATTACAACAACATCATATCAAAACTGCAGAAGAAGAGAAGGAAAGGCTCTGCACACGATATGAACAACTGAGTAAGTAACAAAACTCCTTTACTCCTCCTTATAGTGAAATCGAATACACCAAAATTTTCTGATGGGTTGATGTCATGTCAGGAAAGAAAGAAAGGAGTCTGATATCTGAGCATGAGAAAGCTTGTACTGATAAAATTGCTAAACTGGAAGAGTCCTTGAAAAAGAAGAAGCAGGTACTACCCCTCTCTCTCTCTTCCTTGAAAATAAAAAGAAGAAGCTTGTACTGTTATCTCCATGTATATATATTTGTGCAAACATGTCTCAAAACCATATTTTCTGTTTATAAACTCAGGATGACAGAACTTTCAGCATTATGAGAAAGACTCTTGGCTCATTTATGGAGAGTACTTCAGATGAGGACATCCCGGCTGATGATTGAATGAACATTCAACTGTTTGAGCTCAAGTCTCCAGTTACTTTTTCCCCTTAAAAGATGTTACGTTTATTAATGCTTGCAATATGATATGGTACATGGTTCTGCCATAGGTGGAAAGTTGAATTTCATTTACAGTACCACATTATTACATGCTGCATGTGCAAAATGTTTAAAATTAGTCATAAATTAATTCACAAATTTTCCTCTGTACAATTTCTAGGCACGCCTCACATAAGTAGTTTAATGAACATGATTGGCAGGGGGGAGGTCGTTGCCCCTGTTGAACAGACCATGGAGGGCGCTTGTTGTGTTCCTCCAGATAAAAACATTTCACATCCAGTCATACATATGAAACACAAGCAATTGCATTCTGATCTATTTACAACAACTACATACAAATGACAATACATGTTGTTTCAAAAGTGTTTTCTTATTATTCTCCCTTATAAAAATTACTATTACCAATGAAAGCGCGACATGACGTCTATAAATATGAAGCAAAAAAATAGAACTTTCATTCTGTCTTCTTCTTTTTTGTGTTTGGTGGGGTGGGGAAGAGGAGTATAAGAAATATAATCTCATCATCAGGCAGTTCTTTCAGAGCATCAGATCCCTGTCCTCGGTAATTCCTTGATAACCATTGGAAACAAAGTTTTCGCCAATAACTTCTTACATAATTCCTGATTTCACATATGAACAGAAAAAGAAGAAGAAGTATTTTCATGTAATTCAGAGATTATCCCCAAAATTTGTCCTGAACACTAGCCTATTGGCAGTGAGACTCACAAGTGTATTCCCATAACAGACACAATTAATGGTTTCAATGTGTCCACAGCACATTGTTTACTTACTCCAATTTCTGTCACAAACTAACAAGAGGAACACCTGATGGATGAAGCTCCATATGGATACATCAGCAACACTGCACAACTACCACATTTAACTTGTCCAACCTGATCAGCTGATTGCATAACTATTGCACGCTATTGCATAAACGATGGCTCGATTTTAAGTCCATTGGCAGTTGTGGTTTAGTGCTGAACTATTGCACACTGCATATGGACCTTCGAAATTGCATTACACATTTTTCAAGAAAAAGAATTGATTTCAACACCCTAATCAACTCAAAAGATCAGGTGTACATATTCTAATTCTATATTTCATGTTAGTTTAGATCACACATTATTTTGGGGTCATCCACTGCTTCTTTGAATGAAGTTCAATGCAACTGCAGTCTCTGTTTCTCCTTTTACATTGTTATCAAATTGTGGCAATACTTGCGCTGGGTGTACAGTATCATTACAAGATTACATGAAGTAAGAAAACCTAAAACAATTTTGGAAAAGGAAAAAGAGGAGAGAATGAGACTCAGAACGTTGCTTACCAACATGTCAATCCCAATGTTCGAAACAAGGGGCTAGGCGGGCTGCAAGCAGGGGTCTAATGCCTAGAGGAGTAATAGGGGGCCCATCTCTTCTTTTTGTTTTTTTTCATCAACATATAAATGCAATTTTCTTTCTCAAACCCTAACTCTAACATGAGCCGCCTTCCAGCCTCTCTCTCTCTCGCTCAGACATAACCTGCGACCTCTCTTCTTCCTCAATCCTCATCTCTCTGTCTCTCGCTCATAGCACCATCGTCATCTCGTCCCTGACCTTGGAGATTCCAAAATGGCGTTTTTTTTCTTTCTAGAGCGCCTAGCGTCCGCCTAGAGTGCCTAGCTCCCGCCTAGACTGCCTAGACCGCCTAGAGCCCGCCTAGCCCCTGCCTATGCCGCCTAGCCCGCCTACACCATTTATTCAGTAATATTAACAATTATAGGGTTTAGGGTTTTGCATGGTTAATGAGGAACTCAACTCCTTCATCACAACCAACTCTAGCAGCAACGTGGAGGGGAGTTTCACCCTTGTTGTTGGTGGTCCAAAACAATGGCGATTGTGGTGGGATTTGTTTGAAGAAATCCATGTGCTTGAACTCAGCGGCAATGTGAAGTATATTATTGTCCATAGGCGTTTTCTGATGGAGAAGATCATCTGGTACGTCAGCATCTTTATTTTTTCTCCAGAAATCAACCTCACCTGATCTTGCTGCCTTATACAACTTGTGATGAACTGCACAGAGCATATTTACAAAGATTATTCCAGTGCGATAAAGTCTTTTCCGATTCTTTGCTCCAGTGCGAGAAGAAACTAGAAAATAGTAAGTAATACCTTGCCACTAGTTGTAAGATTATTTGCTCATCCACTACCTAATTAGATGTTCCATCACATCAGATTTAAGACCATTCATCTTTCAAAAATATAACATTGAGATTATTAGTTTAAAAGAATTTGCCTCTGGTATTTTCATCTGTGCGAGTAATTCCTTGGCTCTTTGCTAATCCAGAACCTCGTTGCTAAACTTCGAGTTCAGAGGATCTCAGGCATTGCCGTTTCAACACAAGAGAGAAACAAACATACGACCCTTTGCCAGATTTGGAGGTTAGGTTCTTTTTTTCTCTAAGAAAGAAGTAGTTAGGTTAGGTATCCATCTGCTTTGTCACCCTTTCATCCAGACACATAATGCTGCCTGATTTTAAATGTGCTGTATTTGCCATCTAAACTATAACACCAAATGCTTTTGGTTGTCGTTCTGCTCTGACCAGCCTTATGGACTGGTGCAGAGTTTTGTAAGGACCAAGCCAACCATCTACAGGCCTTGAAAGGTAGTTCTTTACAGTTTCCAAATCTTACTATAAAAGCGTTTCTGTGTAAGTGGATTGTACTTGTAATTAATAGCATAAATTCAATTAGATAGGTATTTACCTAATCAGCCACTACCTTATTTGTCTGTAAGTGGTTGCCTATACTCTGTTTTTCCGAATGTTTTTAAAGAAATAGTATAGCCGTCCGGCTATACTCATTTTTTTAAATGTTTTTTAAAAGAAACTTTATAGCCGCCCGTCTATACTCGCTGGTTAACAAATTCTTTTAAAGAAATATTATAGCCGGTCGGCTATACTCGTTTGCCCCGATTTTTTTAAAGAAATAGTATAGCCGAACGGCTATACTGTAATTTCCCAACTGACCTATGAAAGCTTTGTTGATTGGTTCATGGAACTCTGATTATTTAATCGAATGTAAAACGCAGCCGGAGGTGGCAGAGGTGCTGATCCCATTCATATCCTATCCTCCCTGCTGGATTGAATTGATGACTGAAACTGAAATCTAAAACCGACTAACGGAATTTTTTGCATTATTCAATTCCATTTGAGATTTTGTTTGTTTTCTTGAACCACGTCTTTGTCTACTCTCAGTTCCGACGAAAACTTGAACCTTGAGAGCGTCAGCGAAACCGCCATGGTTACGTTCCAAAACAGAGCAAGGGTTTTTACAATAGCCTGGCTTTTAAGGTTTCTCTGGTTGTTTATAACACGAGTTTTGCGGTGTTACATTACCACCAAGCTTCGTCGTGTTCCCTGCAAATGAGGTTACAAAGAGGAGGTCTTTAATGGCAAAAAAGAGGGTCAAGTAAATTGCGGATGGGTCCAGAAAAACTGCAGACTAGAATAGGGAACGACCCTTATCCAAATTTTTTAGTATAGCCGAGCGGCGATACGCTTTAAATATATTCGAATATTTAATAGTATAGCCGCCCGGCGATACTCTTTGAATATATTGGAATATTTTAATAGTATAGCCGATCCGCCATACTCGTTAAATATACTGCTAGTATTTAATAGTATAGCCGGTCGGCTATACTATGTAAATATATGAATATTTTAACAGTATATATATTCTTTAAATATATTTGAATATTTTACTCGTTAAGCCGCCCGGCTATACGCGTTTTCCAAATATTTAATACTATCGCAGCTACGGTTTATGTCTTCATTCAAGCTAGTATGCTGAGCGCACACGCGCTTTGTATCTTGCAATCTTGGACAATTTCAGGGAATCCATGCTTCAAAAACCTGACCCTGGACACAATTATGCCAAGCTCATGGAGGAGTACACCTCAAAAAAAGATGGCAAACTTCCAACTCATATAGAGGTGAGCAGAACGCAGCAAAGAATCCAGGACAGTAACTTATGTTGCGGAACCAGGTGATATGGAGAATGATATTGCAATGGTGCGACATGCTTACTACTTCTATAAAATCTTCAGGGGCTTATTGTGAGATCCCATTTTTAGCTTCCACCAACGCTTTGAGAGCCGTGCATTTTTCCATAACAGAAAGGCAGAAGCAGCTTTTAGATTGATTGCAATTGAGCTCAACGTTGTATATGAAGCTCTCTTCACCAAGGTTGTTGTGGTGCATTTTCCGGGCTATATCCTTCACTGCGGTTTCCATAGCCCTTGGCTTCATCTATAAACTAGAGAAACATGATTACCATAAGTTTGATGTTAGAATTACCTATACCCTGCTTTTTGGTACTTTAGGCCTGGATTCAATAGCTCTTTTCATGCTTATATTCTCTGATTGGACTGTCGCTGCTCCACGAAATCTTTGCAAAAATATTTTCTCGCTACTATTCTAAAAAGGCACCTCAGTTTCAATAGACCAAGTTGGTTCAAATCGTCATTTCCTATCCCGCAGTATATATTCGAATATTTAGCACTAAATATATTCCAATATGTAATCGTATAGCCGATCGGCTATACTCTTGACTATACTCGAATATTTTATAGTATAGCCGGCCGGCTATACTCGTCAAATATATTCGAATATTTAATAGTGCAGACACGCGGCTATACGCTTTAATATATTCGAATATTTAAAGTATCACCGGGCGGGTACACTCTTCGAATATATTCGAATATTTATAGTATAGCCGGTCGGCTATACTCGTTGAATATATTCGAATATTTAATAGTAGGCTATACGCTTTAATATACTCGAATATTTTATAGTATAGCCGGGTGGTGATACGCTTTATTATATTTAAATATTCTAATACCTTTTTATAGTATAGCCGTGCAATATATTTGAATATTTTAATAGTATAGCCGCACGGCTATACGAGTTTTTCCAATTTTTTAAAATAAGATAGTACAGCCGGTCGGCTATACTCGTTTTAATTAATGCAGAACCTCATTGCTACTCAACTTGGAGTTCAGAGGATCACAGGCATTACCGTTTCAACACGAGAGAAACAAACATACGACCCTTTGCCAGATTTGGAGGTTAGGTTCTTTTTTTCTCTAAGAAAAAAAGTAGTTAGGTTAGGTTAGGTATCCATCTGCTTTGTCACCCTTTCATCCAGACACATAATGCTGCCTGATTTTTAATGTGCTGTATTTGCCATCTAAACTATGACACCAACCTTATGGACTGGTGCAGATTTTTGTAAGGACCAAGCCAACCATCTAAAGGCCTTGAAAGGTAGTTCTTTATAGTTTCCAAATCTTATGATTGCATCCGATTTCTCTTCATACTATAAAAGCGTTTCTGTGTAAGTGGATTGTACTTGTAATTAATAGCATAAATTCAATTAGATAGGTATTTACCTAATCAGCAACTAGCTTATTTGTCTGCACACTTTCGGTTTCGGATTTATGGATAGGAAGCCTGCTGTTTTATACTTGGCGCACAAAACATGACTAATGCATGTAGCTCCTTTAGTTTGCTTCATTTTCCAGTAACAAGTAAAATTTAAGAGCATCATATCACAACTGAAGAAGAAGAGAAGGAAAGGCTCTGCACACGATATGAACAACTGATTAAGCAACAAAACTCCTTTACTCCTCGTTATAGTGAAATCGAATACACCAAAATTTTCTGATGGGTTGATGTCATGTCAGGAAAGAAAGAAAGGAATCCGATATCTGAGCATGAGAAAGCTTGTACTGATAAAATTGCTAAACTGGAAGAGTCCTTGAAAAAGAAGAAGCAGGTACTACCCTCTCTCTTCCTTGAAAATAAAAAGAAGAAGCTTGTACTGATATCTCCATGTATATATATTTGTGCAAACATGTCTCAAAACCACATATTCTGTTTATAAACTCAGGATGACAGAACTTTCAGCGTTCTAAGAAAGACTCTTGGCTCATTTCTGGAGAGTACTTCAGACGAGGACATCCCGGCTGATGATTGAATGAACATTCAACTGTTTGAGCTCAAGTCTCCAGTTACTTTTTCCCCCTAAAAGATGTTACGTTTATTAATACTTGCAATATGATATGGTACATGGTTCATATACAGTACCACACTATTATACAGTACCAAAATTATTACATGCTGCATGTGCAAAATGTTTAAAACTAGTCACAAATTAATTCACAAATTTTCCTCTGTACAATTTCTAGGCACGCCTCACATAAGCAGTTTAATGAACAGGATTGGCAGGGGGAGGTGGTTGCCCCTGTTGAACAGACCACGGAAGGCGCTTGTTGTGTTCCTATAGATAAAAACATTTCACATCCAGTCATACATATGAAACACAAGCAATTGCATTCTGATCTATTTACAACTACTATATATAATATACAAATGACAATACATGTTGTTTCAAAAGTGTTTTCTTATTATTCTCCCTTATAACAATTACTATTACCAATGAAAGAGCGACATGATGTCTATAAATATGAAGCAAAAAAATAGAACTTTCATTATTGTACCCATGTAAAAGTCTATAAATATGAACTTTCAAAGGAAATCTGTCTTCTTCTTTTTTTTTGTTTGGTGTGGCGGGGGGCAGAGAGAGGAGGATAAGAAATATAATATCATCATCAGGCAGTTTTTTTGGAGCATCTCATCCCTGTCCTCGGTAATTCCTTGATAACCATGGAAACAAAGTTTTCGATCCCCAAAAACTTCTTACAAAATTTCTGATTTCACATATGAACAGAAAAAAAGGAAGTACTTTCATGTAATTCAGAGATTCTACCCAAAATTTGTCCTGAACACTAGCCTATTGGCAGTGAGACTCACAAGTAACAGACACAATTAATGGTTTCAATGTGTCCACAGCACATTGTTTACTTAATCCAATTTCTGTCACAAACTAACAAGAGGAACTCCTGACGGATGAAGCTCCATATGTATACATCAGCAACACTGCACAACTACCACATTTAACTTGTCCAACCTGATCAGCTGATTGCATAACTATTGCACACTATTGCATAAACGATGACTCGATTTTAAGTCCATTGGCACTTGTGGTTTAGTGCTGAACTATTGCACACTGCATATGGACCTTCGAAATTGCATTACACATTTTTCAAGAAAAAGAACTGATTTCAACACCCTAATCAACTCAAAAGATCAGGTGTACATATTCTAATTCTATATTTCATGTTAGTTTAGATCACACATTATTTTGGGGTCATCCACTGCTTCTTTGAATGAAGTTCAATGAAACTGCAGTCTCTGTTTCTCCTTTTACATTGTTATCAAATTTTGGAAATACTTGCGCTAGGTGTACAGTATCATCACAAGATTACATGAAGTAAGAAAACCTACGACAATTTTGGAAAAAGAAGAAGAGGAGAGGATGAGACTCAGAACGTTGCTTACCAACATGTCAATCCCAATGTTCGAAACAAGGTGCTAGGTGGGCTGCAAGGGGGTCTAATGCCTAGAGGAGTAATCGGGGGCCCATCTCTTCTTCTTGTTTTTTTCATCAATATATAAATGCAATTTTCCTTCTCAAACCCTAACTCTAACACGAGCCGTCTTCCAGCCCCTCTCTCTCGCTCAGACATAACCCGCGACCTCTCTTCTTCCTCAATCCTCATCTCTCTGTCTCTCGCTCATAGCACCATCGTCATCTCTCCCTGACCTTGGGGATTCCAAAATGGCGGTTTTTTTTTCCAGACCGCCTAGACCGCCTAGAGCCCGCCTAGACCGCCTGGCCCGCCTAGGTCCCGCCTAGCCGCCTAGCCCGCCTAGGTCCCGCCTAGCCGCCTAGCCCGCCTAGGTCATTTATTCAGTATAACAATATGGGTGACAGTTTGTCCAAGGATGGAAAGAGATGCTGCTTATACTGTTCCCACAACCTTGTGAGTATTGCTAGACTCTGCGTGCTTTGAACGATACATGCCATTCCAAAATCTGAAAGTTTTGGGTTCATGTTCTCATCCAAGAGAATGTTACTGACCTTCAAATCTCTATGTATTACCTTCAAACAGGAATCATGGTGGAGATAAAGAAGCCCCCTAGCAACACCCTGAATAATCTTGAAGCGTCGACCCCAATCAAGCACTGCTCCTCCTGTCATTGGATAAGTAGTGGGTTCGCTCTCCTCATCATCAACGCGTAGTTTTTTCGCAGGGTTGATGAGGAACTCAACTCCTTCATCACAACCAACTCTAGCAGCAACGTGGAGGGGAGTTTCACCCTTGTTGTTGGTGGTCCCAAACAATGGCGATTGTGGTGGGATTAGCATCTCAATTGCTTATCTAATTGATTTATGAATTTAAAATCCATGCACAGGTTTTGCCGAGGGTTGAGGAGAATATAATTACAACAGCATATTATGGACTCAGTTTAAACATTTTTGTTGAAGTGATCATCTCCAATTGCAGCATTAGTTTGGACCTTTTTGCCTAAACTCACACTATTGTATCTATCTGCACTTTTTAAAAACTGATATTCCAGAGAGAAGAAACTAGAAAATAGTAAGTAATACCTTACCACTATAGTTGTAAGATTATTTGCTCATCTACTACCTAATTAGATGTTCCATCACGTCAGATTTAAGACCATTCATCTTTCAAAAATATAACATTGAGATTATTAGTTTAAAAGAATTTGCCTCTGGTATTTTCATCTGTGCGAGTAATTCCTTGGCTCTTTGCTAATGCAGAACCTCGTTGCTAAACTTGGAGTTCAGAGGATCACAGGCATTGCTCTTTTCAACACAAGAGAGGAACAAACATACGACCCTTTGCCAGATTTGGAGGTTAGGTTCTTTTTTTCTCTAAGAAAAAGTAGTTATGTTAGGTATCCATCTGCTTTGTCACCCTTTCATCCAGACACATAATGCTGCTAGATTTTTAATGTGCTGTATTTGCCATCTAAACTACAACACCAAATGCTTTTGGTTGTCGTTCTGTTCTGACCAGTCTTCTGGACTGTTGCAGATTTTTGTAAGGACCAAGCCAACCATCTACAGGCCTTGAAACGTAGTTTTTTATAGTTTCCAAATCTTATAGTTGCATCTGATTTCTCTTCATGTACATGCTATACGGCGTTTCTGTGTAAGTGGATTGTACTTGTAATTAATAGTATAAATTCAATTAGATAGGTATTTACCTAATCAGCAACTAGCTTATTTGTCTGCACACTTTCGGTTTCGGATTTATGGATAGGAAGCCTGCTTTTTTATACTCTGCACACAAAACGTGACTTATGCATGTAGCTCCTTTAGTTTGCTTCATTTTCCAGTAACAAGTAAAATTTAAGAGCATCATATCAAAACTGCAGAAGGAGAGAAGGAAAGGCTCTGCACACGATATGAACAAGCATGATTCATGAGAAGGAGCTTCCATATAGTCTTTGGTGTGAAGCAGTGAACACATCAGTGTATCTGCGTAATAGAAGTCCTACCAAGGCTTTGGAGAATATTACACCGTTTGAGAAATTCAGTGGAAGAAAACCTAGGATTAAACACCTGAAAGTGTTTGTTAGAGAAATAGAATCCTAGCAGGTATGGAAGAGAATATCAGGAAGTCTATGAGAGAAGAGGAAAGGAAATAAACCAGAGAAAAACGATTAGAAGAATTCCTCTGTATTCTGTTTCTGTATTGAGCACTATCTGTCAGAGCCTATTAGCTCACTCACACGCACAATGAAATAACTGTTGGAGGAGAGAGAGAGTTAGACATACTCCTAACTTCAATTTCAGCCATCCATTACATACCCTTAGATTAGGACACTTGTCCATTGCCGAGGCCCAACCCACAAAGCAAACTACCAATCAGTTCACTAATTTATACACTAACAGTAAGCAACAAAACTCCTTTACTCCTCGTTAGGCATTCTCCAACCCATGAGGGGCTGTTTTAGGTGTAGTGGGCTCCATTGAATAGTGTTGGGTCCAGGCAATACTTAGACCTATATTTGGGTCCAAATTTGGGTTTTCCCAAATTTTGGGTCTTTCATTTTCTTGAATTGGGAGAGGATTTGGGCAATATTTTGAGTTTAAGTCCTTGGGTTGGAAATGGCCTTATAGTGAAAATCGAATACACCAAAATTTTCTGATGGGTTGATGTCATGTCAGGAAAGAAAGAAAGGAGTCTGATATCTGAGCATGAGAAAGCTTGTACTAATAAAATTGCTAAACTGGAAGAGTCCTTGAAAAAGAAGAAGCAGGTAGTACCCCCTCTCTCTCTCTCTTCCTTGAAAATAAAAAGAAGCAGCTTGTACTGATATCTCCATGTATATATATTTGTGCAAACATGTCTCAAAACCACATTTTCTGTTTATAAACTCAGGATGACAAAACTTGCAGCGAGTACTTCAGAGGAGGACATCCCGGCTGATGATCGAATGAACATTCTACTGTTTGAGCTCAAGTCGATGGCTAGACTCTGTTTTAAAAGAAATATTACAGCCGAGCGGCTATATCGGTTTCTTCAATTTTTTAAAGAAATAGTCTAGCCGATCGGCTATACTTGGTTTTTTCCAAATTTTTTAAAAGAAATAGTAAAGCCGATCGGCTAGACTCTGTTTTTAATTTTTTTTTAAAGAAATAGGATAGCCGATCGGGTATACTCGGTTTTCGCAATTTTTTAAAGAAATAGTATAGCCGTTCGGCTATACTCGGGATTTAAAATTTTTAAACTTGGTTTTTCCCCTTTTTTAAAGATATAGTATAGCCGAACGGCTTTACGCGTTATTTTAATTGTTTTGTAAAGAGATAGTATAGGCGGCCGGCTTTTTAAAAGCAATAGTAAAGCCGCGCGGCGATACTAGGCATTTCGACTTTTTAAATTTTTTTGAACAAATAGTATAGCCGATCGGCTATACCCTCTTTTTTCTTTTCTCTTTTTTTTTGCCCCTCTCTCCCCAATTTTTCGCATCAATCAACCCAGGCATGACAACAGCCTGTCCAACTTGGATTTTCCATGATTTTCTTCTTCTTTAACAATGGAGACAATCTTCCCCTCCTTTACCTCAACTGCTCACTTACGCATTTCATAAATGAAACAAAATCAACCATTTGGTGCCAAAACAATAATATAGAGCAGTAATGATCCTGTGAGGCGTCACGATGTCCTTGCTGGTTATCCAGTAATGTTGGTAAGCAAGCAAGCAGGCTGCAGTTTTTCTGATATTGCTGTAAAATAGAAAATAAATTAAAGTCCATTATGACACTCATATTTCAATGCAGAGCCAAAACAGAGGAAGTCAAATACTCAGTAGAATTCGTAAACAAACAAGCAAACCTACAGCTTCTTTCTTGATGGGTTCACCGTCATCTACACAGAAATATGCTCATGCGTATACAAAATGCATTGGTATATACGCAGAAATTTGTTCATGCGAATTGGAATGTTTTTTGTTTGGTACAACTTTCAACATCATTAAAAACTTGTAGTAATAGTTCAGAGAGCAAAGTGACATTTAGATAATAGTTCAGGTTCACAATTTAGTGTATATTATATATTCATTTCACGTCGAGAAAGTAATCCCATTAAAAATTCTTGATGGAATATATTATATTGAAACAGATTCATTATCCATTGATCAATTGGTTAATATCTAAAAGCCACTTGCCCTGTTGTCCACTAACAGAGTGTACTATTCAAAAAAGAAAGTAACCCGTAAAAGAAACAGAAATTAGCCAGGCAACTAAACACTTTAAGAATCAAAACATTACATTGCAAATGCCTCAATATCTTTTCTTCTATCAAAATCACATTTTGCAAAAGTTCAGTGCTTTCTCTTGCGCAACTTTTCTATTGTGTAATCTATCCAAACACATTGGGATCAGATGGGCAACCTTTCATTAGAGTTGCTGTGTGACAAAAACCACGAGCCCTCCCTTCAAAGTAGATATGTGGTAATAGTGGCCAGTTAGAATACTTTTGTATCCCCTCCATAACTTCATTGTCCGTGAGAAGATCAAAACTTCCAAATTCGACCTCATGTCTCTTCAACATGTTAACAGCTATTTTGCTAAATTCACATTTGGGATCCTCAGGGGTTCCTTTCATGAAAAGCATGACTCGATTGGAGTCAATCAGCTGTTGCAGCCGCCTTTTCAAGGCATCATCAAGGCCATCTTGCGCTTCAATTTGCTCTCGGGAAGATTCATTTTCTTTTGTCAACTCTGGAGCAGGTTCTTCAGGCTCAACAGCAACTTTATTAGCCAAACTAGATGGATCTGCACCTTCTAATGTACCATTGAACTTCTACCACCCACTCTAACAATTTAAGTTTGGCATCACAACCTGAGCCTGTCAATAGTTAAATCTCATTAAAAACAACATTCATACTGCCACTATTATCATGTACTTATCTAATTGATTTATGAATTTAAAATCCATGCACAGGTTTTGCCGAGGGTTGAGGAGAATATAATTCCAACAGCATATTATGGACTCAGTTTAAACATTTTTGTTGAAGTGACCATCTCCAAAACATCGCCATTTGCAGCATGACTTTGGACCTTTTTGCCTAAACACACACTACAGTTTCTATCTGCTCTTTTTAAAAACTGATATTCCAGAGAGAAGAAACTAGAAAATAGTAAGTAATACCTAACCACTAGATGTTCCATCACATCAGATTTAAGACAATTGATCTTTCAAAAATATAACATTGAGATTATTAGTTTAAAAGAATTTGCCTCTGGTATTTTCATCTGTGCGAGTAATTCCTTGGCTCTTTGCTAATGCAGAACCTCCTTATTGCTACTCAACTTGGAGTTCAGAGGATCACATGCATTACCATTTCAACACAAAAGAGAAATGAACATACGTCCCTTTGCCAGATTTGGAGGATAGGTTCTTTTTCTCTCTAAGAAAAAATTAGTTAGGTTAGGTATCCATCTGCTTTGTCACCCTTTCATCCAGACACATAATGCTGCCTGATTTTTAATGTGCTGTATTTGCCATCTAAACTGCAACACCAAATGCTTTTGGTTATCGTTCTGTTCTGACCAGCCTTACGGACTGGTGCAGATTTTTGTAAGGACCAAGCCAACATCTACAGGCCTTGAAAGTTAATTCTTTATAGATTCCAAATCTTATGATTGCATCTGATTTCTCTTCATACTATAAAAGCGTTTCTGTGTAAGTGGATTGTACTTGTAATTAATAGCATAAATTCAATTAGATAGGTATTTACCTAATCAGCAACTAGCTTATTTGTCTGCACACTTTCGGTTTCGGATTTATGGATAGAAGCCTGCTTTTTTATACTCTGCACACAAAACAT